AGATATAATCAAACCCTCACATACAGTCCTAGAAAAATTTGTGGTCTTGTTGTGAGGAGGGTACTTTTATTTAAAATTGTGTTCTGTGATAAAGAAATGGTTGTTGCACATGTTTTTCCAATTGTCTGAATCTTGAATACCCAAAGCGTAACATTCTTAATGGATTTTTGTTTGTGGTGCCACATATCATTTTGGACACATACATATATACATGCTACATCTATTATAGTAAGACAGAAGATTTAAGAAGTGTTCATGCTTAGAAACAGACAGAGCCAAGTATGACTGGAAAAAATGGGACTAGTAGGTTTCTTAAAAGATCATAACATTGAAACACCAGTTTTACACTGACTGCAATAACCACCAGGAAGTTCTTTGCAGTAAATTTCTTACATTTAATGAAGTTACGAAAGAAATCACAAAAAATTATAAACTTAATCAGAGGCAGCAATCATGCCCAGAGCCATAGGAAATATATCTACATTTTTGAACAATCATATACTGACTATGGAGATATTTCATTCGTTGGTTTAGTGCTGGTAAAACCTTTCAGCAATTTTAAAATTGCTGAATTCACTCACTTGTCCGATACTATGAATGAATATCAGACAGATTTTCAAATAAGATTCTCTGATTTTGTGAAAATTAAACCAGTATTCAATCGCTCTTTTTTTTAAATCCACTGTAAGTGAAAATACAAAAACAAGAAAAACCAATATCAAATGGAGTTACGTGAACTGCAGAATGATATGTACATTTCTACTAAGCACGATCTTAATGGAGAAGATTTCTGGAAGCTTATCACCCCAGACCAATTTCCAAACCTTCATAATTTTGCTTTGGATATATATTTGATGTTTGGTAGTATCTATGTATGTGAGTTCACTTTCTCTGCTTTGAATGAAACCATTAAAATTCCTGCAAAGAAATAGGTTTTCTGATGAAACTCTTACATCAGTACTACGACTAGCCACAACGCAGACTGAAGTTGATACTTAAAACTTATTTCAGAGAGAGCTGTTATTTCAATATTGTAACTTTATTATAGTTTTTCAGAATAAATTTTGTAATAGTCTTAAATTTAAAAATTTTTCAGTCCCCATGTTTCTACTATTTTTACAGTATCTTATTGTTCGGCCCATGCCTTCAGAATAAATGTAAATATTGACATTTCAAAATGTCTTCCTCTACACTTAAGCTGCATAAGTAGATTGTATATTCACCAATATATTTCTACACATTTCTCTAATAGGCAGTTGCTGCACATCTCACAGTTAATTCAATACTAATTCTTTTTTCATTTTTGTGTTACATTAGTGAACACTATATAAGCAAAGTTGTTTGTAAGCAAGGTATTTAAGTATGGGAAAAGTTAACTTTTGGACCACTCCAAGGAAAGTTTCACAGAATGAATTATTCTTATGAAAAAATAATTGTATTTTAATAATTTAAACATCAATTTTTGATCCCCATACTTTTGGCAGTAATGACCTTAATTAAACTATGATGTAATTCAAGCATGATATTTCAAGAAATCCAATATGGCATAAAATAACTTGCCAGAAACAAAGAAAATGTTTACAGAATTGAAGCCAGTAGAATAAAGCAATGTAGTGAATTGTATTATAAGATCGATAGACAAGTATATATTATATAGTTAACAACTTAAGAAACAAGTCTGCTCCTACAGTAACAAAACAAAGTACTATTGTTGCCATGTGCAAAAATCACATACAGCATCAAATTGGGTACTGACTATCAAAACTCGCACCTCATCACACTTACTGTAACAACTGTTGATTATAACTTCTCATAGCAAATGCTTCAGGTCTGATTGTGCTTATTAAAATTATGTTAAGGACATGAGGTTATAATTATTAAAATAATATGTAATAGTGTGAATTTGATAATTTGGAAGTATACCAGCTTCAGGTACTTGATTTTTAAATGCTACACATTTTTATTCTAAAGTATTTTACTATGTAAGAAAACTGTTTATAAAATACACAAGTTTATTACATTATGTAAAAATGATGTTTCTATAACATTTAACTAAGTTCAACTTGCAGTAATGGTATTATTAGAAATACAGAAAAAGAGAACTGCCTTATTCTGTTTTAAGTTTGTATAAACTTATTTTCATACAATAAGACTGATGTCGTTTCACCCTCTGTATGCTTTATGTGTGTATTTATATTTAGATCTGATTGTAACTCAAAACTGTAATCTTACTCATTCAATACTAGATATAAATAAACTTAAAATTATGTCTACAGGTATTAAGCATTCCACAACCATTGACAAACATTTACAATAAAAGTTAATGGTTTAAGCATTGTGGAACCTAATATACTCAATATTTTATAAAGTTCTTACACCTAATTTCAAGTAAATAGGACATGTTACATATGCTGATTATCACGATTACAATAACTATAAAAAAGGTGCTTAAGGTTTTACAATTAACTCATTGTAAAATGGGGATTTTCTTCATTATTTTGTAAAACCTAACAACTTGTAACTGAAGTATAACAAAATGAAACTATTACGACTTCAATAATGATAAAAAATGACTTGTGTAACATGATAATCCAAGCTTAAAAGTATTATTTGCAGAAAAAAGATGGGAATGTCTATAGACAATGACTTTTATTATATTTCTTGAGTCTATTAATTTACTTAGAATTGAACTTTTAATATTTAATCTGAATGTAAAGAACAAACAAATTATCACATACTCTAAGTTACAGTGATTGTCTATCAATACACAAAATAAAAAACTTAAAAACTGGGTAATGCACAATATCCTTTAATAATGCTTTTTTAAATACTAAGCAGTATGAAATGTAACTTAAATAAAAGTCTCAAGTGGTTGGTTACATACGAGGACATCAAATTTATCAAGTGGTAAAGATTACTTTCTGAAAGACATTTTGCAAACAATAAAAGCTAAACCTTCACTAAGATGTTACTTCTGGTCAAGAATCAAGTCCTGTATCCAATCCTAAGTACTGTTTCATCAGTTCATATGTAGAAAATGAAACAGCTACCATAGGTACAGCACGTAGGTAGTTGATACTCATTCCACGATAAAGTCCTTTCATGATACCATCTTCTTTGAATATAAGAAATAGAGTTGAGAACCAACTTTTACTGCAAAGAGAGTAAAATAATCATACAAATATGTTACTAAAAACAATAATAGGATTAAAAAATGTTTCAGGAAAAGTTTGTAAATCATTGTTGGTTCTTTATTACTAGTTATAAAATTTCATGTTTCTTTTTTTTTTCTGATTTCATGTGATCATTCACATTTCAAAAAAGGTGTGAAGAATTAGTAAATGAATATTTTTAAGTCCCATGCACATTTGTAAATTAATACTCTTTACCATTCTTCACATTTATAAAAATAATAACTGAATTTTGATAAGTATTTTGGCTACATTTTTGTGACTCTTTTTGTTAACTCCTACTGACCAACGTATTTGAAAAGTATTCATTAATTTTTAAAAAGACATCAAAATGAATGTGCACAGGGTTAGTCCAACAGACCAATACCGTGATGGAAAAAAAATACCACTATCATTTTTAATTTACTATGGGTATCTCAATGAAATGTGACAAGCTTTTAGTAAAATATACGAGTCTGTTGTACACAAAAAAATCAGAAGTGATACAAAAGTATTTTTTGATAAATTGTTTAGACAGAGTATTCATGATGAAACTTTGTATTAGGTCGTCAAGAAATTAATGTTGCTTTTTTTAGATGAAAAAACCCAAACAACTTATATGTCAAAACATTTATTAAATGAAATAGTCTCCATTCTTATCAATGATGCTTTTCCATCTTACAATAAGGTTGTTAATACCCTAATTAAAAAAATCACTTGGCTTTGAAGGAAAAAACATGTTGATGTCATCTTTAACACCTTCCACATTTGCATACATTTTCCCATTAAGATGGTGTTGCAGCAAACGAAAAATCTGATGGTGCCATATCTGGAGAATATGGTGGGTGGGGGGAAAATTCCCAACCCAACTCCATAATCTTGTGTTGTGTCAAACGTGCCACATGTGGACGTGCATTGTCGTGGAGAAGAACAACACCTTTCCGATTAACGAATGAAGGGCTTGATTTAAACGTTCCAGTTGCTGAATACAGATCTCTGCATTGACAGTTCGCTGTGGATTGAGGAGTTCGAAATGGATTACTCCTTTGATGTTCCACCAAATGCAAATCATCACTTTCTGCAGATGGAGTCCAAGTTCTGGGGTCGGAAGTGGTTTTTGTCTAGGACTGAGCCATTGCTTTTTGGCATTTAATGTTTGCATAGAGAATCCATTTTTCATCACCGGTGACAATTCTTTCCAAAAATGGTTCACTGGCTAGAAGAGACGGAGCAACATTCACATGTTGGAAATGATGATCATCGGGGAGTTCGTGAGG